AGTATATAAATTTAAACTTCATTTTCAGCAGCAGCAACGGCGGCAGCAGCTCGTTTTTGACCTAATCTTCTCATCCATCGGGAATAAATTATGGTAAATAAAATTATACAACCCAACAAACTATTAAAAACAATATGTCCAATATAAACAGCTTCATCAACAGTTTTTGTATTGTAAATAATTATAATACGGATAGGAACTTCAATAAGTGTACCAAAACCCCAAACAGCGTTCATAACGATAAATGTACGTCGAAATAAAGGTTCAGATCTCCAATATCTCTCATATCGTTCAGAAATAGGCTCATCTTCAGTTAAACCTTTAAGATTACCAAGTTCAAGATTCTTAAATTTATAATATAATAAGGGACGCATTTGGAAGGTGCCGATTTTTATCGGAATTAAAGTGACAATAAATATTAAACCAAATACACCAGTAATAAATGATTCTCGTAATAAGAATAACTTTGGATCATCTTGAAACAAAGACAATATAAGTCCAGCAATGAAACCGACTATTGCGAGGATTCCAACGGCGTTGGGTTGCTTGCGAATGATAAAATTAAGAATAACAGAAACAATAGGCGGGATACCTGATATGATTAGTGCCCAAATATTGGGTATATGTTTTGAAAGAATAAAATATAGGAGAAGTGGTAAACCGATATCAACAAATAACAGGAATAACGGGAACAGAAATCTCCTTATTTTATTTTTTAGGGAAGAATTATTTTTAAGCGTTGAAGGTGCTGGTGGTTTTGATGTAGTTGAGAGAATTGAGGGCTCTACTGCTGTTGAAGAAGCCAAATCACTCAATGGTCCTGTTACATGATCCTCGTTATCTGTTCTGTTTGATCCTGACATCCTATTTTTTTTATTTTTTCTAATGATAAAGAAGAGTATAATTAAGAAATTTTGGGTTGCAAATTCGGCGTCAAACGTTTAAATTTAAATAACCTGAAACTCGAAACAACAGACATTCTAACAATTTGGCAAGTGCCGGGCACTAAATTTAGGAACCCTAACGATTAGTCTAGTAAGTACGTACTAGATTCCATTGTAACACATACCTACTTTGGAAAAAAGATGGATGAATGATCCGAATTGTCTATACAGATACAAAAAATCTTTTTTTTAAAGATAAGCTATTTTTGATGTGATTCGAGAAAATTCCAAAGAAAATTTTATTTTCCATTATAACTATCATTTTAATTAGACAATTATGTTGACATATACGAGAGTTGATAAAAACGGGATAGTTTTTATGTATCCTGAGCCTATTTTTTCTTAGTAGGAGGTTGATATTAACGAATGGTTGACTATAGTAATTTGTAACACGTAACTTATCAGTTGTGAATTCAATAAGTTATGCATATGTTTTGTGAACTAAAAAAAATCATTTAAGCGTTGCACAAGTATAATTAATTACTTTCAATTTATATTTTTTTCGGTTTATTCATTTCAACTATATAGTAAATTTGTGAAGAAAATTTTCTATATGAACATACGTATTAATAGCATCTTGGTTAGTAATTTATTACGTTACAAAAAAAAAAGTTCGTACTAAAGACAATTGCTTTTAATTATGACTTAATTGTGGGATTCCGCCAGTTTTTACATATATGTCATATATACGTAAGTACTTATTGATGGTCAAAAATAGAAATTAAACGCATCTACGTTGACCAGGGATGGTAAATGACCTGGTCATTTGATTAAACTTTAAATGACCCAATAATGACCTTCATTTGGGTCATTTGTGCATAAAATAATTTTATTGGTTTGAAAACAAAAAGTTATTAGTTTTCTAGTAGCTTCATATACAGTATAAGTTTTACTAAGCTAGTTGTTATTTACAATATGTCTTAAGTAAAGTTGTTCGAAATAACAAATTGCATATACTTTAATTTTTATTAATTCACTTCCGCATTTCACATTTAAATAAAAAAATTCTTAATCTTTCATAAATGCAAAAGCGAATTAATAAAAAGTTATTCAAATTACATGAAACTTTTGAATATATGCAATTTTTATTGTGAAGCTTTACTTAAGGCATAAATATTGACTAGCTTAATAAATTTTGACTTTTAAAAGAGTTAAGATTATTAATTATGTTTTTATCATACGCATTTATCCTGTAACCAATTTTGATTGGTAAAAAAGTGTTAGAACATCAATTAAAATATGCCAAATGACCTCCGACATTTAGGTATTTGAAATGACCAATGACTAATCATTTGTCATTTGCGTCATCAGGTCATTTCAAGTCATTTATCATTTCTGATGCTAATAATAAAACGATACGACAATGCGTTCTCCTGATTTAAATGCATCGTTGATACGACAGTGCGTTCTCCTGATTCTAAATGCATCTAATTTTGTTAAAATTGACATAGGATCATGTGATTTCCAAGGTCAATAGTCTTTGAACAAAAAGACTCGTTTATTTTAGGGTTCGGGCGTATTTTAGTGTTAGAAAGAGTTGCCTAATACCGTCAGACCTCTCTAAGTGCACCCTCTATAAGTGCACATCCTCTCTAAATGCACACTCAGAATCCGGCCCAAATATATACTTGACCTCTATAAATGCACTTGTTCTTATTATTCTTTAAATGCATGTTGCTAAAGTGTGGTCCCAAGGGCGTGCACTTAGAGAGGTCTAACTGTAGTAAAATTGTACGAGGAATTTTGGGCAATTGATTTCGGGAAATCATGTGGATGGAAAATCGATCCTATTCTCTGGAGCTGCTACCCAATTGGTTGATGCTAACGATATTACATAACGATAACGCCATCTATAAATGAGTGACGAAAAGGGAAAATCTGTAATTCTAAAAATAGATCATTATGAATTTTATAATAATCTATTTTTAGAATTACATGTTTTTCATTTCCGTCACTCAAATAAAAAGATTCAGCGTCGCACAACGCATACAGTGTAGACGTTTACGTACGCACCATTACGTTTAGAATCTTTAATTAGGTAAAAAGCTTCAACGGTAACTTATGCACTGTAGATGTTTAGAATATTATGTATAAAAAAAAGGGGTTCACTGCTACGTAAAGAGCCGGGAGTTTAAATTGAATATAGAGGGGATATTAAGTTTAGAGATAGCATCATGTCGTATATACGTACGTACGTACGTACCAGGTATGTACTTTTCACAGCAGTGTTTAATCGGCACATATTATAATCTATGTAATTACTTATTGATGATTTTCGTAATCCTAATGATGCAAAATTTAAACGCTATGAGTGTAATGGGTAATAAAAATCATGGTTTTAATACTGTAATTAGTATATCGTATTTGCACGTAATGGCGGGCCGGGGCGTTATTTCAAGTAATGGCCCGAATTAAGCTTAATTTAGGCCGAAATTCGAAATCACACCCCTGCGCCTTATTACGCGCAAATACGGTAGCTAGAATATATGACTAGGATGGATATACCTTACAGCGTTGTATACAGTATCTCCTTGGAAATTATCCCCTTTAAATAGTACTAGTATACTATTCA